GACACTGAAGCCCCGCCTCCCCCTCCGGGGCACGACGGGAAATGTAGTTTTATTGACCCCCAGCCCCACGCCATGTCCTGCGGCCCCCCACACCTACTCGCCAGCCCCACACATCTCCAGGCCCCCCCACACTTACTCCCCAGCCCCACACATCTCCAGGCCCCCCCCGCCATGACTCCCAACCCCACACATTAGACACTGTTCCCCGTAGGATTCCAGTGGAGACACCAGCGGCACTGGGCCCGGGCGAGCGTAGGGCCTGCTGGGTCAAGGCCTGGCTGGATGGACGGTCCAAAGGATGGAAGGTCCTCAAGGGAGTCCCATCCGGCCAGTGGCTGATCACAAGTGGTGCTTCCCCAGGGCTTGGCGTTGGGGCCATTTCTGTTTAACACCTTCATCAACCGTCTTGATAAGGACACAGAGTGCGTCATCACCGAGTTCGCAGACAACACCAAGTTAGGCGGGAGCGTTGGTCTGCACGAGGACAGAGAGGCCCCACAGAGAGGCTTAGACAGGCTGGATGGATGGACCAACATTAATGGGATGAGCTTCATAGAATCATAGAATTGTCCAGGCCGGAAAGGACCTCCAAAGGTCATCTAGTCTGACCCCCCCGCAGTCAGCAGGGACACCCCCAACTAGACCAGGTTGCCCAGGGCCTCGTCGAGCCTCTCCTTGAATATCTCCAGGGTAGGGGCCTCAACCACCTCCCTGGGCAACCTGTTCCAGTGCTCCACTACCCTCCCAGTGAAGAACCCTCTCCTCATCTCCAGTCTAAATCTGTTCCCCTCCAGCTTGAAGCCATTGCCCCTCGTCCTGTCACTGCAGGCCTTTCTAAACAGGCTCTCCCCAGCCTTCCTGTAGGCCCCTTCAGGTACTGGAAGGCTGCTATTAGGTCTCCCCGGAGCCTCCTCTTCTCCAGGCTGAACAACCCCAGCTCCCTCAGCCTGTCCTCGTAGCAGAGGTGCTCCATCCCCCTGATCATCCTTGTGGCCCTCCTCTGGACCCTCTCCATCAGGTCCATGTCCTTCTTATATTGAGGGCTCCAGACCTGCACACAATACTCCAGGTGAGGTCTCACCAGAGCAGAGTAAAGTAGCAGAATCCCCTCTCTGGACCTGCTGGCAACGCAGCTTTTGATGCAGCCCAGGATGCGATTGGCCTTCTGGGCTGCAGCTGCACACTGCCTGCTCATGTCCAGCTTCTCGTCCACCAGCACCCCCAAGTCCCTTTCCTCAGGGCTGCTTTCCAATACCTCACCCCCTAGTTTGTATTGGTGGCGAGGATTGTTCCGGCCCAGGTGCAGAACCTTGCATTTGCTCTTGTTGAACCTCATGAGGTTCACCTGGGCCCACCTCTCCAGCCTGTCCAGGTCATTTTGGATGACATCCTGTCCTTCTGGTGTATCGACAACATGTGGGGATAAACTGAGAGAGTTGGGGGGTTCAGCCTGGAGAAGAGAAGGCTCCGGGGAGACCTTGGAGCCCCTTCCAGGCCCTAGACAGGCTCCGGGAGAGATGGGGAGGGACTCTGGATCAGGGAGGGAGGCCCTAGGAGGAGGGGGAAGGGTTTTAAGCTGAAAAATGGGGAGATTTAAGTTAGATTTAGGAAGAACTTGTTTGCTGTGAGGGTGGGGAGAGCCTGGCCCAGGGTTGCTCAGAGAAGCTGTGGCTGCCCCATCCCTGGAGGGGTTCAAGGGCAGGTTGGAGGGGGCTTGGAGCAACCTGGTCTGGTGGGAGGTGTCCCTGCCCAGGGCAGGGGGCTTGGAATGGGATCATAGAACGGTTCAGGTTGGAAGGGACCATAAAGGTCTTCGAGTTCCAGGCCCCCAGTGGTCTTTAAGGTCCCTTCCAACCCAAACTATTCTATGATCATGCAGTGGCCCAGGTTGCCCCGAGAAGCTGTGGCTGCCCCATCCCTGGAGGGGTTCAAGGGCAGGTTGGAGGGGGCTTGGAGCAACCTGGGCTGGTGG